TGTAATGAAATTTGCTGAAATTTGGTTGAAAATCCCTTGCAATTGACCCAATTTCATTATCATTTCAGCAATTTTTCATTAAAAAATTTATTTTCAGTGAAATTCTGCAAATTTCATAATATACAACATTTCAAAATTTTTTTCACTAATTTTTAGTAATATTAATTAACTTTCATCTAATTTCACAGTATTTCATTGAATTTCATAACGAAACTTATGATTTATTTCGAAATGGTTTTAACAAGTTTCCAATAACTTTCATTTCACTTTTCATCAATTTCATTACATTTTCAGCAAAATTTTTCCATCAGGGTTTGCAGTAATGTGGATTTCCATCCGCCATTTTGGATCCGCCATTTTGATTTTCTAAAATCTGAGTTTGAATTCGAACTCAGCTATCTCAAAATCCTTTGAATATCCATTTTCACCGCAATTAGAATACTTTCAGTATTTTGGCCACTTTCTTAGGTCTGCTAGCCCACTGTGCAACGGTGGAAGTACATGCGTGGAGACAGTATGTTCCGCCCCCCCTTCGGGGGGGGGCTCCACTCCGTTAAGATAACCCTACCCGAACCATATCTGAGGTATGGAGTGGATCTCGCTTCACGTGGAAAGTCACTTGCGGGAAGGAAGAGTTATTCGTGGTGAATGGGTATTCGCGGTATAGAAAAGGAGCGCTGCATATCCTTATTAGTCGTAACGTCGCAAACGTTTTTGCGCTACTCATTGTTTATACGAGCTTTTTGTAGCTTTCTAAAGTAAGAACGTAAGAGAAGCTTCGTCGTTTGCATTTGTCTGAAATATTGTGGCTGGTAACGTGTGAGTTACAATTTGTCGGAAGTGTTACTTGATTAGTAATTTGTGATAAATTATTCATTCTACGAATATGGCAGAACACTTGAAACACATTACATTTATTCGCAATGTTTTCGACGAAAAGTGGTGCGTTCAATTTCTTCTTCAGCATCTTGTTTTACGGGATAAGATGGATTGCCCTAGGTATGGCAGTGAACTCACAGTGAATCTGGAGACATTTGTTTTTCGCTGTCGCAAATCCTACAATACTACGCAATCTAAGAAAAAGAAGAAAATGGTACAATGTAATTTTTGGAGAAGTGTAAAAGTGAACGTGGTTCGACCACGTGCATTTATTGTTTATTGCACATTTTCTGTGGATACCTATACCTCGATGGGGTTATATTTCTGACGATCTCGACTTGTCCCCATAGACATATATACATATATGTATATAGACCCAGCGTTCTGTGCGCGCGCCTCTTAGTTGCCCTCGACGTTCCCCAGACCGGCGGAGTGACGGAGACAGCACTTACCTCTATATCGTTCTGTCCTTTAGAAGATGCGGACAACTCCACTCACAGAACGCTGTATCTATATATATATGTCTATGCTTGTCCCCCGAAACTATTGTAAACTGGAGTAATTACTGCCGTGAAGTATGCGTATACTGGGCAGAGAAACACTCAGAAAAATTAGGCGGACCTAGTACTGTTGTTGAAATTGATGAAGCGAAATTTGGCAAGAGGAAGTATAATCGTGGACGCTTAATTAATGGAAAGTGGATATTCGGCGGTTACGAACGTGGCACTAAGAAGATTTTCTTAGTACCTGTTTCTGATCGTACTTCCGCAACACTTATTAGGTGTATCAAAGAATGGATACTACCTGGGACTACAATAATGTCCGATAAATGGAAGGCTTACGAATGTTTGTCTGCTGAGGATTTCAAGTATCTCTCTGTTAATCATCAGACGAATTTCGTAGATCCGGAGACAGGTGCCAATACGCAAGGAATTGAGGGCACATGGCGTGAGGTTAGAGGAAATATTTCTAGGTATGCCACTAAGGAGGAGCACTTAGTGTCTTATCTCGCGGAATATTTATTCAAACGTGTATACTCTCGCCCTGAGCATATTAGTGAGTTCTTTGATCTCATTGCTGAGTTTCAAGAGGTGCTAATCCAGGACAAAGTTTTCGATGAACGTGTTGATACTCCACAAGACGCCTGAAAACGAGTACACCTATTACACCTTGGGTGCACACTGTAGCATAAATATACAGCTAACGTTTATTTTTGCTGGCCTTTTTGCGTTTTTCTGTTCCTTTTGCGTACATGTACTGCAAAATAATACATGTTTAGATTTGGAGGACAGATAGAAGTCCATCCTTTTTCTCGAAAACTATCACTCGTACAGTAAAAATGAATAGGACATAAAATGCATATTTCGAAGAGATGTACAACTTTTATTTAAAACTTTTTTCAAAATTTTTGATATTTGGTGGGATAAATGTTAAAAACCATAATTTTTATGGGTTTTTCATGGTTTTCATGGGTTTCTTGTTCCGACCGCCATGTTTGAGTTACATATTCATGTTCAGAACACAAAAATACATAGGAATTGAGTGTTGTTATCCCTTATTTTATATAGATGGGTTTTCCGAAGATTTACCTTTAAATCAAATAACAAATGAGAATTCCCGACATTTGAGTCGAACTTAAACTAAAATAAGAAAATGAAATCCCAACATTCGAGTCGAACTTAAAGTCTAAATGTTAGAAAGGAAAGACCCGACGTTAGTAGCGCTTAACGGCTAAATTATAACTTAATCAAAGAACGTGACGCGTATTCACATTACGTGGAACCGGTGACGAACGGAAGGGGACAAACCTTCGCGATCGGGCGCTTCAATTTTGTTTTTGCGGTTCGCAGCGTAACGACGCGTACGTGGCCATCGGGGCCGGGATGGGTTTCGATAACCCTAGCTAATGCCCATCGACATGAAGGAAGTAGCTCATTCTTTAAGAGAACTAAAGTTCCGACAGTAAGAGAGCGCGAAGGGTTTTGCCACTTGGCGCGCTGTTGCAACGTATGCAAATAATCGTGAGTCCAGGCTTTCCAAATATGTTCGCGCATAGCGAGAGCTCTTTGCCAACGAGATAACCGATTCTCATTGACGTCGAGCAGCGAGGGCTCTGGAACGCTGAGTAGGGGTCGACCGATCAGAAAATTACCCGGAGTTAGCGCATCGAAATTATCCGGATCGTCGCGAAGAGGCGCGAGAGGACGCGAATTTAGACACGCTTCGATTTCGCATAGCAGTGTAGAAAATTCGAGTTGTGAGAGAATGTGGGAGTCCACGACTCTTCAAGTGACTCTTGAAGCTTTTAACGCCGGCTTCTCAGAGACCTCCGAAACGAGGCGCGGAAGCAGGGATGAAATGCCAACGGATTCCGTCCGTGGCTAATTTTTCGCGTACTTCCGAGTTTTTTACGGTAGAAATAAAGGCGCGACGAAGTTCGTTATTGGCCCCTTGAAAATTCGTACCGTTGTCGTTATAAATGTCGGAAGGCAGACCGCGTCTGCTGACAAAGCGCTGAAAAGCGGCTAAGAAACCGGAAGTAGCGTCGACGTACTCGAGATGAATTGCGCGAGTCGCGAAACAGACAAATAATGCCACATAATCCTTTCGCGATTTTTGACCCCGTCCTACGTAGGGAATGATTTGAAATGGACCAGCGTAGTCCACACCACAATGAGAAAATGGAGACGACGGATTGACTCGGGGAGACGGAAGGTCTCCCATGAGTTGACTTGCTGAGACTGCGCGTTCGCGAGCGCAGCTTAAACATTGATTTATTCGTGATTTGACGAGGGATCTCGCGCCGATAATCCAATAATTTTGGCGTAATAGACGAAGGGTTAACTGAGGACCTCCGTGCAGTGATTGCAAGTGCATTTGATCGATAATTAACTCGCTGATGTGGTGGCGCGGTAAAATTAGCGGGAAGCGCTCGTTATACGATAAGAACGAATGGTGCAACCACCCACCAAGACGCAACTGGCCCTTTCCTTTCGAGGAAAGGATTGAGTGATTTTAGCGCGGTCGATCGAGGCAGCGACGCGTGTGCTTGTACAGCGCGGATTTCCGCGGCGAAACTATCGTTTTGAATTTTGCGAATCCAGACCTCGCGAGCGTCTTGCACGCTCTTAGCGAAGTTGACATCGTGGGATGCAGCTTTGTCGCACTTTTGAGTTCGGAATTTGCGGAGCCAGCGAAAGAGGAGGCCGGTAACTCGAAGAAGTTTGTTCCAATTTGAAAATCTAGAGGAAAAGTCCCATTCTTCCTTTTCTTGAGCGACGTGGATAATCGCTGTCGCGCACTGTTCATTAAGCACGGAGTTTTGATCGACAATGCGTTCGGACGAGGCGCAAGGTCGAGAATTTGGACAGAAAGCCGAATTTTGGCGAAGCCACGCGGGGCCTGACCACCAAAGCGCGTGATCGATTAATTCTTGAGCAGTGATTCCCCGAGATGCGCAATCTGCAGGGTTTTCGCGTGTAGGAACATGACGCCATTTAATTTCCGGCATTTTTGTTTGGATCTCTGAGACCCGATTTGCTACATAAGGCTTCCAGCGCGACGGATGCTGAGTGAGCCAAGCGAGTGCGACGGTGGAGTTGGTCCAGCCGTGCACTGGAATTGAATCGTATTCGAAAGTTTCTTTGACGTACTCGAGGAGTCGTACGAGTAATACTATTCCATTTAACTCGAGCCGCGGTATAGCAACCGTTTTTAATGGCGCGACTTTCGATTTGGCCGCGATTAACGAGACTGAAATTTCATTTGGCGGTTTAAGAACGCGCAAATAGACGACCGCGAAGACGCGCGCTGCGAAGCGTCCGCGAAACGGTGCAGTTTCATGGCGCAGTGAGATTGTGAAAGACCAATCCAGCGTGGAATGCGTAATTTTGAGAGACTGGGAAGTTCGCGACAATAATGCTCCCAGTTCTCTTGAATCGTTTGAGGGACTTGATCGTCCCAATCAACTTTCGCAAGCCATAAATCTTGCATGAGCATTTTGGCTTGTATAACGACAGGTGAAGCCCACCCGAGAGGATCAAATAGTCTTGCGATTAATGATAGAATTGTGCGCTTCGTACTGCGCGTTTTCGGTATTTCTCCGACTTGAAAACTGAACGAATCTTCCTTGGGAAGCCAGGTGATACCGAGTACTTTGAGGATTGCCGAATCCTCTTTCGAAAAATCGATCGCGAGATCGATTGTCGGAATATCAGATAATAGCGCGATATTGTTTGCGGCCCACTTGCGTAAAGTAAAGCCACCGCATTGTAAAGCGTCGTCTACAATAACCGGCGTAAGCGTGGAGTAAGAAGTAAGAGTAGGCGTAAGAGAGCTACTTCTGGTTTAATAGAGCTGGAGTAAGGGCGTAAGCGAAATGAATTATTTTTACTCGTATTTCTTACGCCTACTCTTACTCTTACACCTTTTCACGCATGCCTACAACACTTACTTCACCGTATTGTAGATTGAGTCGGCGTAAACAGCTTACGCCAAAAACGTTACTCCTACTCTTACTTCTTACTCCACGCTTACGCCGGTTATTGTAGACGACGCTTAATAGCGCGACGAGTTGAGTGCGAAGAGCACGCGCTTCCTCCTGCTCGTCTGCTCCGAACAGGACGTCATCCACGTACGTTGAATGACGGATCACATCAACCGCGTCGGGAAACGATTTGCTTTCGTCGTCGGACAATTGTAAAAGTACGCGATTCGCCAGGTAAGGTGCGCACGCTGTGCCGTAAGTGACGGTAAGGAGACGATAATTTACTATGGGACCGTCCGGAGCCGGTCGCCAAACGATGCGCTGATAATCTACATCGTCGCGATGCACTTGAATTTGGCGAAACATCTTCTCGATGTCCGCGAGGTAAACGAATTTGTATCGGCGCCAACTGGATAGGACAGCACTTATTTCGCGTTACAGTTTCGGGCCGATATGAAGATGCTCATTTAGAGACGTTCCGTTTGACGTCGCGATCGATGCGTTGAACACGACGCGCACACGAGTTGTAGCACTGCTTTCTCGAATCACGGGGTGATACGGAACGTATACCGGTTTGTTTATCATGTCAGGACTGTTGACCTTTTCCATGTGTCCCATGGATTCGTATTCTTGCAAGAAATCGGAATATGCTTGCACGAATTCCTGCTCATTTTGCAGTCGTTGCTCATGCTGAGCGTATCTTGAGAGCGCGATTTGGTGACTGTCACCAATCTCTGGAATTTACCCATGACGAAACGACAGGCGAACGACGTACTGTCCCGTTTGATTGCGTGAGTGCGTATTTACGAAATGAGATTCGCATTCTTCCTCTTCCGGAGTGAGGAACTTCTGAGAGGGAACTTCTTCTATTTCCCAAAATTTACGAATGAGCGCGTCAGTGCTTGGCGCGATTGCACATCGTGGATGCGCGTGATGCTCGCTGATCGCGAGAACTTTCGATAGGGCCGGATATTATCCAACCTAACGTCGCGCGTCGTGAGTTTGGCCGTAGGAAACCCCAGCGGGCCCTTCTGGAGAGGCCCGAGTAATAATTGACCATAAAGATCTGCTCCGATTAAGACGTTAATCGGCTCTCTGCTGGAGGGATCGGGATCGGCTAACTGAAGGCCTTGTAGATGAGGCCACGAGTTTATTTTGCGCGAAATGTTCGCGACATAATTAGTATAGGCGATAATTATGTATTATATAGGCGCACAGGACCTGACGATGCGCAGGATTGACTGCGCAGTATTGATTTTCGTTTCGGCTCGATACAGCGACGGTTCGATATTGAGACAGTCGTTCTGGATCAGCTAATACAATAACACGCGTCTTTGTTTTCGCGAGTCTCAACTGACCTGTACTTTCGTTCGGTTCGGTATTAAAGCCTGACTATCGATTATCCGAGTGTCTTCATTTTATTTTCCTTAACGCGCCGATATTAAGAGAAGGTGGATTATCATCGGTAATTATGCATAAAAGGGGCCTCCTCTCCGATTTGCTTTATTTTTAAATATGTTGTTGGGGATGTCTTCCCGAGTCATTTCATATATATATATAAGGGCCGGACTCGAATAGTTTCGGAGATACAGACTGAGAAAGATACAAATAATAAATATATGGTTTTTCTTCTTTCTTCTTCAGTATAGCTGCTCCACCTCCAAAATCATTCAAATTGGTCTCAATCGACGCGTTTTTCAACGAGGAACAACTTTTTCCTCAGACAAAATCGTCGCTCTGCCCTGCGAAGCGAGATATTAATTGTTAAAGTTGACAATTTTTAGAGTTAGGAAATCTGTCATACCGACGAAATGTAGCGACACAACGTGGGTTTTC